TTTAAGAGGAGCTCTCTTACCTTGATCAGCAACGATTTAATACTAGACAGAATAGAAAAACAGCACACTGCTAATATACCATTCTATAAAAGTAACCTAAAACTTAGATGCTATACCCAGGCCCCGGAACCCACCATTCAAGTTCCATTCTTCCTACACTATCTCTAGCAAGGTGTCAGCTAAATACCTCCAGAATGAGGAACCCACTTTTTTATATATAATCGAGAATATTTCAGTAACAAACTACTCTCAAAAGGAGCAACAGGCCAATAAAGAACAAGCCCATTTGGCTCAGAAATGCAACATTTGGATTACAATATAATCCTGGCCCTGGTTCACCCCCATTCCAACCATTCTCTGACAGCACCTGACTTGGCTAAGGCATCAATGAAACCATTGGCACACCTAGGCACCCATTTGAATGAGCCATTCAAACTGCTACCTAGCTGACGTTCCTGCCTCACTAAAGGCACTATTCAAATTGCTACCTAGCTGAAATGCCAACCTTACAAAGGCCTAACTCCCCAAGGAATTCCAATGCCAACTTTTATCCAAAAGATTCTAGTTTGGCAGTCACCCTCTACCTCCATCTCATGATCTCAATCCAACCTTTTGTAGTAACCAACTCCAAACCTTAAAGCAAACATATAAAGAATTTTCAAGCATGTAAAACCCACAATCTCTTTTTCTCCTTAATTGCATTGCTTCAAGTAGCTATTGTGATGTAAACATATTGCATTCTTGATTCTATGAGTTGCCTTTGTACCACGCCCCTCGAGGCAAGCCCGAACAAGTCTATGTTAGGGTCTGAAATTCTTATTTCTCACATAAAAAATAATGATTTTATAACTTTCATTGCCTTTTAAGAAGATATTTTATTGCAATGAATGAATGAACAACATTAGCAAATAGGGGGTTCTCGGAGCTTTGGTGAGCGAGCGAAGCAAGCGAACTGGAGCGGAGTAGACCCAGCCGTTAGACTAAAAAAAAAAAAAAAAGCAAAAAGCACAAAATTTTAAAAAGGTGCATCAGGCGCACCAGGCGTGCACCTTTTGAAAGGGGTGTGCCTAGGACCTGGGCGAGGCACATACCCCAAAATGTGTCTCACCTGTGCGCCTAGGCATGTCTTTTAAATCACTAATTGAGGGGTTGTCATGAACAGCTTCAAAACATTTCCAGGGATTGTTCACTACTGAAAATAGAGAAATGGTTCCACACCTGCACAGCATAATGAGAACTCAATAGATGGTTAGTATTTTCTCTACTYCTCAGGCAAAGAATACACATATAGGGAGAAAGGCACCAAAGTTTTCATTTCCTTTGGAGTTTCTCATACATGTTAATTGCCCGATTTGCCTCCTCCTAGCAGAAAACCTTCACCTTAGATGAGACACGTCCACTCAACAAAGCTTTGAACGGGAAACAACTTGACTCAAAAGAATAACAAAAGTCGTAGAAAAAGAGAGATGCAAGAAAAGGAATCAACCTAAATGATCTAATCAAAGAAGCTTTAACAGGAGTTTATGGACCTAAAGGCAATTTAAGGAAATTGTTTTGGGCTGAGATGCCGAATATACAGCAGCTACAGTGAGTTTATTGGTTTTTTTTACTTTCTCTTTCTATGTTTTTTTTATTATTTGGGGTGGGGGTACTTAATTTGCTCACCTTTGAAAAGACAGCTCTAAAGTAAATATAGACATCCTGCAGTTTGACTCTTTTGTGAATACTGAACAGAATTTGATTGATCGCCCTTCGGTAGGAGTTGGTGAGTAGCATTTACTTGGGCTGTGTTTGGTATGAGTGCAAACATTGATGTGAAACAAATTTGTACTCCAGCTTGGCTTTGCAGGCATTTGGTAAACCTTGTGTATTGAAAAAGATAGCAATTTTGTTCTTTCTCACATATTTGCATACAATAAGTTAACATCATCTAATAACTGATTGTTGCTCATGATAGGAAAATCTGTGGGAATTTAATATTTACCATCTGCAATTTGTCTCCTCTATTGAATCTGCTAGTGCAGCTGATATACAACGCCACTTATAGCAATCATCACACCGCACCCATGCATTACGTGGGGGCATAAACTGCTCCTCTGACTTAATGGACACCATGGAAGAGCTAGATACATCCTCTGTTGCAATGTGGTTGTCAATTTTGGTTCTCCCCAGTTCATCATTCATGTCATTTCCTACATTAATTTCTGCAAAATGAGACAATCTTAGTTTCTCCATGCTCAAAATAAACAGGAGAAGGTGCACACTAGAAACACACAAAGCATTTTAGACATCAAATAGCTGTGCCAGAAAAGAACTAACTGCTTAAGTCATCTGGTTCACTAGATGCTGAATCCCTTTTCACCCCAGAAGAAAAATCCATGTCAGTACCACTACCACACTGTAGGTGATTTTCTTTTTTGTGGTCTAAAGGCCCCTTCTCCTTAATCTTGCACTTACTACCTTTGCGCCCACCTTTCCGTTCATGATTATTTTCTTTCCTACGCCTTGCTGAAGTGGGGATACGTGGCCTGCATTTGTTTGCTCCAACATTGTGTTTAAACATTTTGGGAAGCTTACGCCCTTTAATTTTAGCAGCAGAAAATGAACCCTCAGAAGTCAATGATTCTGATGGTGTAACCCCAACATCTTGCCCAGAAGATGGGCAAAGTTCCCCTTTCAAAGATTCTTGGCTAACTCCTGGTTCAACCCCTCCCACCAAAAGCAATGGTTCCGTGGAACATCCCTCAAGACCTGAACTGTTGCTGGAAGCATTTTCAATGGGCTCACTATGATCAAGATTATGCCCCACTCTCTGCCTGGATTTATTTTTTACCGGCTTTTTGTTCTTGTTCTTTTTTTCTGGGCCAAGTAGTCCCCCTTCCTCTTTACAGGATCCTGACAAGGAATATGAACTTCCCTTAACCTCAACATTTTTCTTGCCTTTTTTTGTGTATATGACAAGCCTATTGGAAACTATAACCTCTGTTGGAATGGCAGCATCTTGGGAAGAAGTTGAAACAATAGCATGTAGGTCTTCTTGAACTCCTGAACCAACATGAACATCATGAATCAGATTGATCACTTCTGAATCAGGAGATGTTTCCACATCCAAGTACCTATTCTCAGTTGCTTCCCCTACTGTTTCACATGTTATTTGGGAGGAAAGCACATGGCAAGCACCACCAATGTTCCCAATAGACATGTCTTGTGTCACAGTGCTCTCCAAGTCCTTATCTGTAAGGTGAACATCCAATTCAGAAATGTCAACAGCACTAATTGGCTTTCCCAGGTTTTCACTGGGGCATTGGTACTGTCTCAGCTTCTGTTCCACATCACCCATATTAGCTGCTTTTGAGACATCGAGATTGATTCCTTGGTCCGAATCACATTCAGAAACTTGTACTGATGCTGAAGGATCTACCGCCTCAGGTAGCACAGCCTTAAGATTTCTTTGACCCACTTCTTCCCCCATTGTAACTTTTAAACAAGCACCACCAGTTGACGCAGAGAATTTTCTTTTGGATCTACGTGAATTTCCACCCTTCCGGGTCTTCTGCTTTTTACTCCTTTGACCACCTCTTGTTTTTTGTGAACCATGACTTGGAAGTTGAGTTAAATCCAACTCATGATTCTGAATTGCATCATTCTGCTCAAACACTTCCATAATGTTTCCCAAAGCACCCCAAACAGAAGAACGTGCTCGCTTACAGGGACAGCTTCTTTTCCCTCTTGATGTCTTCTTAAAGATTCCAATCGTTCCACTTAAGTGCAATATGCCATTGGCAGTACTGCTGCATTGCTTTGTAGCCTTTCTTGTCTCAGACATCTTATTCAATTTACTTAGACGGGTACTCCTCCGAAGAATTGGGCCTATAGTGTCAGGACAGTTAGATGCAGAAACAGAACCAGACCCAGCATTATCTTCCCTTTCATTGTCTGCATGCACAGCATAATCAACTATATTACTACATGCTAGAGAACCCCTTTCCTGAAGATCTGGAATAATGGAATCTGGCCCAGCATTATCTTTCCCTTCATCATCTACATGCCTAGTATAATCAACGATACTGCTAGTACTACTACATGTTAGAGCACTACCAAGAGCACCACTTTCCTGAAGATCTGGCATTGCCAGGCCTTGAGAAGAAATAATTTCCATATCAGGTTGACATGAATGTAGAGAAGCCGAATCTTCAATAGGACAATCAGAAACTAAATTAGATGACCCTTCCTTGAAACTATAATTATTAAGATGATTGCAGAGCATACTACCACATGTTAGAGCACTGCTAAGACCATCCCCTTCCTGTAGAACTGACACAGCAGAACTGGGCCTAACACTATCCTTCCCTCCATTGTCTGCATACCCAATATAATCAACCATACTACTACATGTCAGAACACCATCAACAACATCCCCTTCCTGAAGATCTGACACTGCCAACGCTTGAGAAGAAATATTATCTAATACTGGCTGAGATGATTGCAAAGATGCTGAATCATTCATAGAACAGTTAGAGGCTATGTCAAGTGACCTTTGCTTGAAATTGCGAGTACTTGCTTCTATTAGTGATGCTTCAGTGATCAGGTTGCCTGATACTCTGGTTAAAACATCACAATTATCCTCTACAACCTTCTGAACATCAGCATCAGTAACCACTTCCTCTACAGAGTCATTGACATCCACAGTAGCCCTCTTATCATTTTGGGTTTTTTGGTTCAGTGAATCAGTCAGGGATGATGAAGCCAATGAAATTTCTTCATTTTCTGATAAGTTCCCTGGGGCACWGTCACATTTAGATTCTTCCCTTCCAAAACATTCTTCAGTCGTCAAACAGGATGACTTATAGTCCTTGCCTCTCTGATTAGAGCAAAGCCCGTTAACACCACATTCATTCTGAGGTGCCTCCTCTGATACCAAGAAAACCATGTTCCCACGCCCATTCTCTGGCCCACCTTTTCCAACAACAGATGCTTCTTGGTCAATGCTAGAATTCACTGAATCAACACTGTAATTCCGAGAAGCATGAACTCCGTCCGCCGGGTCCACGATGTCCCCATTACAGTTAGATGAGACGCAAACCATTTCTGAGAACGATGACCCTTCAATAACAGATTGACCTGTCCTATCCCCGGTGCAAGTAAATAACTGGCGAGCGGCTTCCAGGCCAGAACGTTGTTCTAATATGGCACTGTAACGCCCCTCACAATCTCTAAACTCGTCAACTAACACCATACTACCGCCACCACAGCCTTTCAAATTCCTCTCCCAGCATTCCTACCGGCAACAAGCAACCAGAATCCGAAGGCAATCCGCAGAAAGACTCATCAACCAGAACCTGAAGTTCATAAGAACCCATCTTCCTTTCATCGAATCTAGAAAATCTAGTCCATTCCCAGCTATACAAATACAGAAAAGAATATTAGAAAAAAAAAWTAATTATGGGCACCCAACAACGAATATTATCCAAAACGACAATGCGTCTTCTGGACACCCCAAAATGAATAACGTCATTCGCCCATCTAACTGCACTTGCTAATATCTCCTTGAAAGAAAAAAGGGAAAATAGAGAGGCATACCAGTATATCAGCTTTCGGAATGAATCCAAAGAAACAAACAAGAACCCTAAAATCACCCCCCCCCCAACCACCTCTCACTCTGCAAAATCAAAGCCCTAATATAAGAAACCATTACAGAAGAATGCAGATAAAAAATAAACAAAAAACAAGATTTTAGCAAAAAAAATAAAGTRGAGTACCTAATAACAAACGCCGATAGAGGAAACGAGCCGGAGAGACGATTGATTTTAATTCCTATATTAATTATTGAAATGAAATCACTTAACCCATTCAATTTTTTTATGTAGCAGAGAGAGAGAGAGACGCTATGTGTTTGTGTAGACAACAAAAACCTCTCTACCTTGCATTTGGCGGTTTGAGGGACGAAAAGCGTGTGAAGGTTTTCGGACCAACAACAGGACCTTATTTCAACTTGCAACAAACGAACAAACCTCAAAGTCATTACCTTTTCTCTGTAGATGCTACACGTGTGAGGGATGCCTCGGGTTGGGACTTGGGAGAGCTGCAGAAAAATGAGTTGTATTGTCCGATGGTTACATGTGTACATCCTTTTGTTGCAAAATACAAGAAATTTCCGAGGGTTTACTTTTATAATATGGGCAGTTGGGCACGTAACACGTTGCATTTTTTTGGGGTGCAAATGGATGGAATCGGACCAAATTTAGGGGCCTTTTGTTAAGTTTTTTTAACGAGGCCCTGTTTGGTCCTCTAACCAAACAGGCTATAGCCTTCWAAGATCTTTATGTAAAAGCCCATTATGTCTTTGGTTGTTAGATCTTCCAAAAAATCTTTTAAAAAAGACTTGCCAAATGGCACCTTAAGGCCCTGTTTGGCACATCTTTTCATATGGGTTGCCGGTTTTTTATCTTTTCCAGTTTTGTTGGGAAAAAATCTAGACGCCGAAAGACGCAATCCTGAAAAGATGCAGGAAGCTCCAAATGGAGATTTTCCTATTTGTTTCATCTCATCTTTTCACGGAAAAATGTCTCCAATCAAACAAGTCAGAGGCTACCAAGATCGTTATGTAAAATCCCATTATGTCTTTTGGTTGTCAAATCTTCTAGAAGATTTTTCAAAAAAGACTTGCCAAACAGCACCCAGATCTTATAGATACGAAGATGCATTAAGCTTTTAGGGTATTGTATTTATAATTTAAGATTGTTTGGTTTGCATCATAGTCTATTTAGCCGTTAAAAAACAGTTGGGAATGTTATTTTCAGCATGGAAAAACTAAAAGCTTCACTTTTCGATTTTCGACTTTATTGCTCTTTTCATGTGCTTGACGATGGGTCTTTTCGTCTCTATGATGCTACCAAATAGAAAAATGCCAAAACTACAATTTTTTGGTCTTTTGAGCTTTCCAAAAAAACCCAAAGACATGCCAAAAGACACGCCAAACACCACCTTGATTTGTTTTACTCTAATTCAAATACAATCTTGTGGGGGGATTCTAGATTCAAAACGAATTTGGGTTGCAATCAATATATATTTACATAAAAAATAATTATAATGATTTAATTAGGTATGAATAAATTAACTATAAATTATTAAAACTGTTATATGTCATTAATAAAATGAATTTAAATTTTAATGGTGTATTTAATGAAACTTGAACCTAAGAGTTAGCAAATAGGTAGTTTCTAACTAGAATGAATGGAACTGGCCTTGAACTGACCTTACCCAACTATTACCAAGTAGGGTATGGTTTCAAATTCTATGAATAGACATACCCTTATTCAAGCCAATTATAGGGTCTAAGGGATTACTCTACTACAACCAAAATACTTTGAAGAATTGGCTTTGGAATTGAACTTACCTTGAAATAAAATCCCAAAATACTTTGAAGATGTAAAAAAATGAACCAAAACACTTAAGGTTACAATGACCAGGCTTTCACTTTACAAATCACTTAAGTGGGGTATGGTTTCAAATTCTAGGAATAGGCATACCCTTATTCAAGTCAATTATAGGGTCTAAAGGATTACTCAAACCAACTTGAAGAAGTAGCTTTGGAATTGAATTTACCTTGAAATAAAATCCCAAAATACTTTAAGGATGTAAAGATTTGAACCTAAACACTTAAGGCTACAATGACCAGGGTCTCGCTTTACAAGTCACTTAAGTGGTTTGATAATTTTTCTCATTATTATTATTATTATTATTATTATTATTATTATTATTATTATTATTATTATTATTATTATTATTATTATTATTATT